TAAAACCATCTTTTCAGACTCATCAACGCTTAGTAGCCTATAGAATGGAGCTTAAAAATCTGCTTAATTTACAGGCGCAGCGAGCAATTCAGCTTACACGTAGATCCTTTTATTCAGACGGTAATAAGTGAGGAAAATAGTTAACAAAAGCATTGAAAAAAAGGCTCCAGTCTTCCTAAATAGCAAAAATAAAAGATGAAATGGGAAATCAACATTTGACAACAGAATGAATAATGCAGTTATTTTATTCATATTATCAATGACTATATAATTTGCTTAGACCACTGGGAACTAAAGATTTAATTCGTAATTATATTGGCTCAAATATTACAGAGAAAATTCTGTTTAATGAATTGAAATCTCTGGATACCCCTATTACTGGTATAGAGTTTAAAAAGGCAATTAAATCCTTCCCAACTGGGAAGCGCCCCGGTCCTGATGGCCTGACAATCTGATATTGTAAGTTCTTACAGTCCAACTTAGTAGAATCCTTTTTAAAGGCATTTAATTCAATTGCTGCAGGGATAACTCTACCCCCACAGACTATGGGAAACCTGTAAAAGACTACCAAACTTGACCGACCGTTACCACTGATTTCATGGAACTGTTTAGTGGATAGGACCATGAGCACGGTCGGTCAAAATTATGACTTCCAGAAAATTCCTGAACCCCTGAACTGATTTGGGTAATTTTTGGATATGTTGGTCACCCAGATCAGGGCTATCAGGGGATGTAACATGTGGGGATATCATGTGTTTTGGTGTACTTTTGGAACTTTTTTAGAAATGTATGTTTTTTCTGTGCTTGGAGGTAATTGGATTATAATTAGTACAGTTACTGATCCAATTATCTCCCAAGCAGAGGGGAGGGATTGTGTGTCATGTGTGGGAGTGTCTTAAATTGTAAATGTGTTATTATTGGTTTGTGTCCCTGTCCCCAACTAGGTCCATGTGGGCATACACCTTGCTTGGGGATTGTCATAAAAGGCCAGTGTGGCAACATTAAAATCTATTCCAGCTTACACTCCAAAACTGTGTCCAAGTGAGTTTGCCACAGACTGGTCCAATCTTTTTACTGTATTGGAGGCACAAGGGTTTGGGGATAGGTTTAGACAATGGATAGAAGTTCTTTATAATGGTCCTATCTGTAGTGTAAAGGTAAATGGTCAGTTTTCTAAATTATTTTCTATAGGAAATGGAACAACGCAGGGATGTCCCTTATCCCCCCTTCTGTTTGTTTTAGCTATGTAAACGTTTTTTACAGGCTATTAGGAAAAATCTATTTAAAGGAGGATACTCATTTCAAGGAGGAGGACTGAAAGTTTCTGCCTTTTGCAGATGATATCTTACTTTCATTAACAAATCCTATCCAATCAGTAACCTACATTCTTTGGAATTGAAGGAATATACTTTCGGCAATTTTCCCTGAATAGATCACTTTTTCTGGCTTCGACCACTAATTAAGGATAAGTTCCATAATAGTAGTATGAAGGGAAAAGACAGTCTATTGCTTTTCAGATCCTCAAAGAATATGTCTTAAGTTTCCATTTCTGCTCTCTCTTCAGGGATCTTAAAGGGGCACTTTCATGCCGTACTTAACTTTTCTCAATCACTTCTTCTTCTCTTCCTCTTTCATATTCTGTGTTTCTTTTTTCATTTTCCAGCTATTTCTAACTAAAAACATAACACAAAGTAAGGACTACTTTGTATTTTATCTACGCTTGACTTTCTTAGATACTTAAGCAACCTTCACTTCCTGTGTCTAGGAAAGTTTTCCCACAATACTCACCTATCCTCAGTATTCTCACGTTGCCTCCTTTCGCCCTTTAAAACGTCCTGTAATGTAGACTTGGGCACCACTTAAATTATCACTTCATTCGAATTTCGACAGTTTGTCCTTATGTTTTCGGCAAAAATTCGCTGATTGGTTTAATTTCAACCGAATGAAATTCCGATCCTGCAGCCGTTTTGTAGATAACTCCCTAAATTGGTATCCTTGTGGGATTGCCATATTTTTAAATTAGTATTAAACCTTCCCACGCTGTGCAAGTTGACTCAGACCGCTCTGAATGGTTGGCTTAAGCCAACTAATCAGAGTGCTTTGACAGCTAGAGCCCTCTAATTGGCTGACCGGTAAGTCTCAAGGTTTAACGGTTAGAGCACGCTGAGTCAACGTACATTGCATGGGAAGGATTTATAAGGCTTTCCCTGCTCTGCAAGCTCAGTCTGCGTGGAGCCCTCGCCGGGCTCTTCCAGTTCCTCACTGATCCCTCCAGCGAATAGGACGTCACTCCTGTTGTGGTATCACTAAACAGAGCATGAAGTTTATAGGGGCCACTGGACCACAGGGTGGTAAGTATGGGCCTAAGAAAATTATAGTAATCTTCATTTAGGAAACTGAGTTAGAGTTAGAGAAACTGAGTTAAAGAATCCACAGTTTGTAATAGGTACTTAGGTACCTATAGGTACCAGTGCCACAGTACAATTTTTTGTGACTATATTTATTTTGAGCTCATATACAGATATTTATATATCAGTTGCATATACTAAACATACTAATACTGTGTGTATATTGGGGCTGTATAATAACACTATCTTGCACACTGAATATACTAATCACAATACTGAGGCTGTGTTTTAACAGCCCATACACAAAGATTATAGTGGACTCATACTGAGGCTGTGTCTTTATATAATTCACATATACTGTGGCTGTGTTTTCACACTGTCCAAATTATAAATAGAGCATATAGTGGACACACATAAGCTGTGTCTTCACAGTAACTCATACATATAGCATATACTGGACACATATACTGAGGCTGTGTCCTCACAGTAACTCTTACATAGAGCATATACTGGACACATATACTAAGGCTGTGTCCTCACAGTAACTCATACATAGAACATGTATTCTAGACATAGTGGTGCTTCACACCAGCTCATATACAGAGATCATATACAGAGATAATATCAGTCACACATACTGTAGCTGTGTAATTACACCAGGTTATATAGAGAGACTATCTTGGTCTCATATGCTGATTTAGATCAGGAAGAATATACAAACAATACATCAATGTCCACTCTCTGAAAGTAGCCTGCTTATGTTCTAAAATGCACAGGTAACAGAATCAAGGCCACATGCCTATACAGCCAGGATATTCATTAGCAGCATTATTTTATGCTATTTATATATATTATATATAAATAATATTATTTTATTTTTAAGATGCATCATTGGACATATTAACTTTTCTAAATGATCACCATTTAGCTCCTAAATGTGACCTATTTGTTCAAAGTAAGCCCAATGTAAGCAGATGGGAGGAACTGAAACACCCAGGTACTTATACTAAATTACTACTGTAATAACTTGAGGTGAGAAAACATACTAAACAGCCACGGAGACAGATGAACTGCTGACGGCTTGAATTTTACAACATGACATAAGGCTCCATAACAGCAAAGAAACATATAGAAAAAACAAGGATCAATCAGAAACAATACATTAATATATTAGGCACAGTGAACCCAAGCACCTCCTCTTTCTTTGCTGCTCCATAACAAGGGCAGGTCAGAGTTTCTGCTCTCTACATTATATTATTGTGTCAGATTGCTGTGTTGCGACTGATGTTTATTTTATTCTTTGGGGGTTCTGTTAGTGTGGGATCTGTTTGTATCCCCTGTTTTATTTCTCTCTCTGGCAAACTCTGCCTGCACACTAGGGATGTGCATGGGCTAAAAATTCGGTTCGGCACTTCTGAATTTTGGGACTTTGGCAATTCGGGAATTCGGCACTTCGGTTCGTTCAGCACTTCCAAAATTCAGGACTTTGGCACTTTGGGAATTCGAGACTTCAGCCATTCCATAACCCTACCCCTAACCCTACTCTTACCCTGAACCCTACCCTATAACCATACCTACCTTAGGTGTTGGGGTAGGGTTATTGCTAGGGTTAGGGTTAGACTTCTGTCATCATTCCTTTAATTTTACCTACCTCTCCTGTTTTGCCACTTTTCAGAAATCTGAAGCACATCTGCACTTCCGAAATTCGGCACTTCGGTAATTTCGTTCGGATCGGCACTTCCGAAATTCAGGACTTCGGCAATTCGGTTCGGTTCGACACTTCGGAAATTCGGCATCCAAATGTCCAAATTGACGAAATTCGGACCAAAATGAATTGCACATGTCTACTGCACGATACTGGGCTCTAATTGTCTACCTATTTCCAGGCAGGCCCTGCCTACATACTAGGCCTTATTTGTCCCTTTCCTGCAGGCACTGCCTGCCCCATTACAGTTTTTCCCCCTTTCTCTACTAGGCCTTATTTCATAGGCGTGCACAGCCTATTGCATAAGGGTGTGCACCCTAAAGCACAAAAACACACGCCGTGAATATATATATATATATATATATATATATACATACATATATATATATATATACACACACACACACACACACACACACACACACACACACACACTGGGTGCTGTGTGTGTGAGGGTGTGTAAGGGTGCTGTGTGTGAGTGTTTGTGAGGGTGGTGTGTGTGTATGGGTGCTGTGTGTGTAAGGGTGCTGTTAGTGTGAGGGTACTGCTAGTGTGTGTGTGATGTGTGTGAGATGTGTGTGATGTGTGTGTGAGGGTGCTGTTAGTGTGAGGGTGCTGTTAGTGCGTGTGTGATGTGTGTAAGGGTGCTGTTAGTGTGTGTATGGAAGGGTGATGTATGTGTGTGTGTGCTGTTAGTGTGTGTGTGGGTGCTGTGTGTATTGTGTGGGGGCCGTCTAGTTAATAGTGAGTGTTTGTGAGGGTGGTGTGTGTGTATAAGGGTGCTGTGTGTGTGTGTATGTGTAAGGGTGCTGTTAGTGTGATGCGTGTGTATGTGTGTGTAAGGGTGATGTGTGTGAGGGTGCTGTGTGTATTGTGTGGGGACCGTTTAGTTAATAGCCCCCCTCCCTTCTTACCTTTTGTAGGGACTGTGCTGCTGACATCCCTGGTGGTACAGAGAAGATTAGCATGGCCCCTGCGCAAGGATAACACACAAAGTTTGTGAAGCATTTCACAGATTCTACAAGTTTATACCTTTTTACAATCAGCTCTACCTGCTTTGGTGTAGGCACTGAATTTAAGATCAATGTATTGACCCTGGAGATTTTACTAGAGTGGTAGGTGCTGCTTGCCCTACTGGTTTATGTGTATGGGTGCTGGTTTATGTGTATGGGCCCTACTGACATGTAATTGTGCTACTGAGGCGAGCCTGCTGTTGCTGTCTCCTATGCTGGGTGAGCCCCAGTTATTCAACCACCATTGATGTACGTCTGTGTTTACTGTGCCTGGTTCCTCTGCCTTGGATTTTTTTAAAACTGTTACTAGTTTATAACACTGCAATATGGTCTAGCCAGAGCTTCTTGAATCAAAATATTGTTAGGTGCACTGATAGCACTGATAGCACTGAATATGGACTCTTGGCCTCTCTTACCTATTCCTTGATTACTTCCTTCTCTAGGTGAAATCTGATAAGCCAGAAGTACTAAGCATCTAACTGTTAGTGGGAAAGTGGGTGATGTGTCACCTTACTCATATACAGTCATGGCAAAAAACGCCGCTCCCATACCTCACGGCAGATGCCTTGTCAGCCTCTTGTCCTGGGGGCCAAAGAGCTGCCCCCCCACTCTCTAAGGCTGGTATCTAATGATGCAGGAGGCAGGCTGCGAGGGAACAATGTCCCTGGGGGTTCTTCCTGCTCTGCTCCTTTGCTCACCCTGCAGTGATGCCAGAGCCGGAATATGACATCACTCCGGCCCTGGAATTACTAAGAGGCGCGCAATGGAGCTGAGCAGGAGGACCAGAGATCCCTTGCCACCTCCAATGTGAGCCTGCCTATCCAACCGCCCGCCTGTGGCTGCATGCCCTGCCAGCAGAGCTGCAGCCAGTCTCACTGGACGCCAGGGAACAATCCACTGCAGCACTCCCAAAGGTAAGGAGGTTGGGTGGAATGAACGTTAAATAAAAAGTTTGTGACTGTGTTAATGTGTTTGTCTGTTAGTGAAAGTGTGAGTGTGTATGTGTCTGTCAGAGAGTGTGTATGTCTGTCACTGAGAGTGTATATGTGTTTGTCAATAAGTGTGTATGTGTGTCTGATAGTGTGTGTATCTGTCACAGAGAGTGTGTGTATGTCAGTGTGTGTGTAAGCATTTCTGCCAGTGTGTGTATGCGTGTGTCAGTGTGTGTATGCTTGTGTCAGTGTGTGAACGCATTTGTCAGTGTGGATATGCGTGTGTGTCACTGAGAGTGTATGTCTGTTAGTGAATGTGTATGTCTGTCCTTGTGTGTCTGTCAACTAGTGTATGTGTATCTACCAGTGAATGTGTGTGTCTGACACTGAGTGGGTGTGTCTGACACTGAGTGTATATATGTCTGTCAGTGAGCGTGTATGTGTGTTTGTCAGTGTGTATCTGTCCGTTAGTATATGTGTGTCTCAGTATGTGTGTCTGACACTGAGGGAGTGTTTGTCTGTCAGTGAGTGTTTAACTATTTCTGTTAGTGTGTATCTGTCAGTGTGTGTCAGTGAGTGTATATTAATGTTTATCAGAGAGTGTGTATGTGTTTTTTAGTGTGTATCTGTCAGTTAGTATGTGTCTCAGTGTGTGTGTGTCTGTCATTGAGTGTTTATGCATTTCTGTCAGTGAGTGTGTATCTGTCAGTGTATGTCAGTAAGTGAGCATGTGTGTCTTGTCGGGGAGTGTGTATGTGTGTCTGTCAGTGAATGCGTGTCTGTCGGTGAATGTGAGTGTGCGTGTAACTGTAAATTAGTAAGTGTGTATGTCTGTAAATGTGTATGTTTTAGTGAAAGTGTGTGTTGGTTAAACAGTGTGTGTTACTGTCAGTGAGTGTGTGACGAAGTGCCCTTCGCCACTTGGTCCTGGAGAGGCCTACTTGCCAGCCTCCTCCCCTGTGACTATGACTCTTTCATGTATCTGGCTTTAAAGCCCCTAGTCTACCTTCAGACAGACTATTTATGTAGGCTGCTTTATTTATCTTATGTTTTAGTCACCCTGTACCCATTATAGGTGCAGGGTGTGTGTAATGTAATTGTTTATAGTGTGTGTGTGTGTGTACTGTGTAATGTATTGCCTGCTCTCTTGTATTGCTGAGGTTTGCTACCAACTAGGTGGGTTTGGCTATGGAGCTTGTCTAGTGCCCTCTGTTGGTAGCAACAGCAATATGCACTACCTGAATTGCAAGACTGGTTCATTTGCATATTCGGGTAGATTTGCATATTGCTAATTCTGCAGGCAGGTGAGATATTTACTTTTAAATATTGTCTCCCCCACCCCTTTAAAAATGTGCCATTGTGTTGTGATAAGTCACTGTGTGTTGCTTGATATGGTTTGACTGTTTGTGATTTTATTGAGGTTTCACAACAATGTTATTGTGGTGACCCTATTGGCTGGTCCCAAGGGAAATAAAGGTTTTGACAGTCTTCTTGATCCCTCTAAACGTAGCCTTGTCTCGTTATTGGAGGGAGCTGTTATAATCACACTGGGGATTGCTATACTCTGCATGCTCCCCTGAGCTTGAGTCACTTAGCTCTTTTAAGAGCTTGTTCCTGACACGCTCTCCTTGGAGGAGGGGTCTTCACCACACAGTCCTGGAGGACAGAAGCTGATCCAGGGTGGAAGGAAGATGGCGAGACTCCAGTCAAGATACGGCGGTTGCGGAGTCTGCGGTGGTTGTGGTGTCTGCTGCAGTGCTTGGGAGTCCTCAGGAAGCGCTAGGAGCAACCATCAACGGAGGGTACTCAGTCGGAGTACAAGGAGCTCCGTTACAGAGTGTATGTCAGTACATGCATCAGTGAGGGCGTGTGTCTGTCAGGAAGAGAAATTTGGAAGTGGGAGGGGGAATGCTTGATTTTTGTTTGTCCTGAAAGGACTTGCTAGAGATGCTGGAAAAGTTAAGAGGAGATTTAGAGGAATTGATGGGGAAGGAGATATCTAAAGAATATTTCTTATGTAATAAGACACAATATTTACATGCAAATAAACCAGAAAAGTTATTGGCACAAGATATTAAAAATCAATATATTGTCTGACCGTACATAGTGGAAATACACGTGTGTGACAATAGAGACATGGGACCAAACGTACGCTTGTATACTATTCCTAGTCGTTTTTTTCTGCAAACATGTGTGCGATTGTCATATATCATATGTTATCTGTTACATGTTTTATCTACTATTAAAAACCAGACGGGATATCTAAACATACATAGAGATGAGAACTACCTTGAAAATTAGAGACGTAAATACAACTAGTGGTCCCTAGTAGTGATGTCCCGAACGGTTCGCAAATGGTTCGCCACGAACGGTTCGCCACGGACTCATCATTGAGTAAACTTTGACCCAGTAACTCACAGTCAGCAGACACATTCCAGCCTATCAGCAGCAGACCCTCCCTCCCAGACCCTCCCACCTCCTGGACAGCTCACTAAGAATGCAGCTTCACAATGAATGTAAAATGGATGCTGTCCAGGAGGTGGGAGGTACAGGGTCAAAGTTTACTCAATGATGAGTCCGTGGCGAACCGTTCGGCGAACCGTTCGGCGAACCGTTCGGGACATCACTAGTCTCTAGTTATGGGATCAATGCAACCTTGATTGTTCACCCATCTTGCTAATGTAAAAAGCAATGATCACAGTGTACATGCTTGTTTATGCATAATCCTATGTTGCTGTATATGTACTGCTTGTGATGTCTCGTCTTGGAATAAATAAAGAATTTAAAAAAAAAAGAAATCAATATACTAAAGCATATATTCCTAAAATAAAGGATAGGCAGAGACAGTACAAGAAAGAAAGTCAAAAGATAACAGTACAGTGCAGGAACCTGGATAAACATCAGGGACTGACTGAAAGAGCACCTATGGCCAAACTCCTAAAGAAAGGAAATAACCCTCAAATATATCTCTATATTTGTAGACAGGGACAGTATTGGCATAGATCACAGGATAAAGCACGTATATTTCAAACTTATCATGTTATATAATATCCATGAAAATAATATGGGGGAAATGGACAAGGAGCTAAAAAAGAATATGGAAACATATCTAGAGAATTTTTTTAAGTATAGAATTACAAATGAACAAAGAAAGGAGCTGGGAAAGTTAATTATATCAGAACATATAGAAAATGCAATTATGGATTCCCCTGTCTGGGTAGAGTCTGGGATCAGTCGGTTTTTCTATTTTATACTATAAAATTTATAAAAAAGAATTGGCCCCATTTTTGGCGGACATGTTTATTGATATATTAGAAGGTGAAGGCCTGGATCAAAAGATGTTAGAGGCAGTAATCACTTTAATTGAGGGGGTAGTTTCAGTTCTTATTCATCCAGACCAGTCAGGTTTTGTACCAAAGAGAGAAATTAGAGATAACATGACTAAAATGAAATATTATGACCTATGTACCAAAATAAAATATCCCGGGAAACTTGTTAGGGGTAGATGCTGAAAAAGCATTTGACCGGGTTAGTTGGCTGTTTATGTATGAGGTTTTAAGCTAGAGGTATTTGACATTTCTTTGTGTTGGATTAAAGCCATCTATAATTTACCAATGACTGGAATCAGAGCTAATAGAATAATTTCAGATCAGCTATATATGACTAATGTGACAAGGCAAGGGTGCCCCCTGTCCCCATTGCTATTTATTCTGACGTTATAACTCTTTTTTTAATGCAATAAGGATGAATAATAAGATACAGGTTCCAAACGAAACAAAGGAAATTAGCAGCATACGCTGATGGTATCATGTTGACAATTATGAACCCCCTACAATCATTACATTTTGTATTTAGAGAATTGAAAACATATAGTTATCTTTCAAATTACAGAGTAAATTTCAAAAGTGTGAAGTCCTAAGTATGAATATGAATTTTCAACAAAGAAAGGAAATTGTAAAAAAAATACCATGCTTCAGGCACTCAAATATCTAGAAAAATAAAGTGCATATGGTGTGTAATACTTGGTGCTAATATAAAGTGCAGCTGGTTAACACTGTGGAATAAACCATGATA